AGAATGAACTCTAACGCATTGCGATCCCTCTTTTATGTAATATAAAAGCCACTTCTCTAGATAAACCAATAATATAATTTTTCTCCCTATATTCTTAAGCTACTGAGTCATCGCATTACTTCTGTCATTGTTTTTTCCATACTATTTCTTTACACTCACTGTTTTACTTTGTTTTCCACTATCCATCAGTATGAGGGAAAAATGAACACGCCTACAAATTCCATCGTTGCATAATGCCTTCTTTTCAATATGATAAATTCAACTGCAAGCTGATCACTTTGACTGACGTGGACACTTCTAGGCAAAATACAGAACGAGAAAACCTTCAATTCAATCTAGTATGTTAAATTGGTGGTTAAATGTTTTTGTTACATCACTTTGATGGCTTGTGTGACTGTTAACATGTTACTTGAGATTTGAGTCATTCAGAAGAACTTTAAAAATTCCCATATTGTGAATAAGGACAACATATATAGGCGAACAATATTGTTTTAAATTAGGTCTTCATCATGCTTTACACTAATATACAATTATACTTATGTACATATACGAAATCATTAAACCAATCAAGGCAGTTTATGAAACGTTGACTCGAACTCTTGTTACTCTTACCACAACTCTCTACCGCCATATTACTCCCAATAACACTCAAGATCACTGTATTCATAATCACTCTTCCTCTTTTGGCTCCCTCCTTAAATGTTACAACGAACATCGATTCTGGTGCACGAAATACTGTCATAGGTCTACTAAATCCTCGCTCCAAACTACACATTAGTCTTTAACGTGCACTTTCCGTGTCAAATCGACCAACAGGCCTCCTTGACTAAAACCCTTGGAACTCGTAATATTGATGAAGAGCGTAAACAAATGAAATCTAGGTTAAACAAAAGTTTAAGGGACTACTGTGAACAGTGGTGTGCAACGAAAGCAAAAGAAATGGGGAAGGCAGCGGTAACACCAGATAACTTTTCAGACTCATAAAAGAAACTGGAATTAGAAAGTCAAGTGTAAGTGGGACTATTTCGGAAAAAGACGACATTTTAAAGAGCATATCAGCTGTCCTTCAACTACCCACCATTCCCAAACAACCTGAATGGAACATTAAAGTAGGTCCACCGGATCTATCTGAAGTTCGAAAGGCTATAGTTAATCTGAAGCGAGGAAAAGCAACTGTTCCAAATGGATTGGCTCCCGAGGTCTTTAAGTAAGGTGGTCTAATTTTAGCTCAAATCTGGGAGTTGGACGTAATCCCATCACTGATCGCAATGACTGATTGCCCCAGTATATAAGAAAAGGTCAAAATCATCCTGTGACAACCATGGAAGGATTAGTTTAACTAATATAGCATCCAAAATACTAGCCTCAATAATTATCGGACGCCTAACAAAAACTCGTGAACTGCAAACACGAGAAGATCAGGCTGGCTGCATTGACCACATATTTACTATTTGTCAGGTTCTAGAACACAGGCATACTTATCGGCGTCCGACAGTGGTGGTCTTTCTTAACCTAAAAGCAGTATTTGACTCTGTAGACCGAGAGGTTCTGTGGCAGTGTCTGTCATTGAAAGGCGTACCTCAGAAGTACATAAACCTTGTGAATGCTCTTTACTCGAACACTACTAGTCGAGTCAGAGCTTATGGCGAACTGTCATCTGCTTTTGCAACCTCAAGTGATGTCAGTCAAGGCTGTCCACTTTTTCCATTTTTGTTTAACTTCATCATAGATCTACTGATGGAAATAACGCTCTCATCGACTGAATTCTTCGGCATTGATCTCCTACCAGGAGGTCCACTTATCGACTTAGAATACGCAGATGACATAGTCCTGTTTGGTGAAGACGCTGACGAAATGCAGAGTGTTTTGGTAGCAGTGAGCAACAATGCCAGGATGTTTGAGATGCTCTTCTCTCCCTCCAAATGCAAGTTGTTGCTTCAGGATTGGTCTGCGTCAACACCTGAACTAAGGATAGGGAGTGAAGTAATCGAACGCGTTGACAAGTTCACTTATCTTGGAAGTCTGATCAACCCTAATGGGTTGGTGTGTGACGGAATCTCAGCACGGATTCGAAGAGCTCGTTTGGCTTTCGCCAACTTACACCACCTATGGCGCAGGCGAGATATCCGTCTATCAATTAAGGGTCGGGTATACTGCGCGGCAGTTCGTTCCGTTCTACTATTCGGCTGTGAAACATGGCCTTTAAGAGTAGAAGATACTCGTAAGCTACTAGTATTTGACGACAGATGCGGGTATCTGCTGGGATCACCGTGTAAGTAATAGTGAGGTTAGACGTAGGGTATTAGGAAATGATGATAAATCAGTTGATAAAGTTATGAATCTTCATCGACTGAGATGGTTAGGCCACGTGTTACGTATGCCTGAAGACGGATTACCACGACGCGCAATGCTGACTAGTGTTGGGGATGGTTGGAAGAAAGTTAAGGGCGGCCAAACCAATACACGGTATCAGTGCTTGAAGACACTAACTTCTAGTCTGAGCCATGTCGGTAGATGCAGACTACTTGGTTTGGATCCGCGTGACTATCGTAACCAATGGTTGGAGACTCTGTGTGACATGGCTCAGAATCGATCACAATGGCGTAGGCGTATATACTCTGTCTTCCCTTAAACTGTGAGATTTTAATTGCTTTATACCTTTCTTTCTACGAACTAATTCTTTGTTCCTGTACTATCTCCTTATATGCAATCTTTCTTCTATATATTACCAACTCTGAATTAACGGCCTCTTTGAATCCGGTGTTCATCTTGTTGTGCTAATGCGGTATGGCAACTTCGACCGATGCATATATGTTCCTGGTCCTACGTTGCAGCTGACTGACTGACTGACTTATGCAGCTACCTATATACACAAACTTCTCGAATACTTCTATCTGCTCACCATTCAGAGTGAGTACAGGGTTAGAATCCTGCCAGTCTTGTAGAAGTACTTTGCACTTCGAAGGTGCAAAGCACATACCATACCTACGGACACCGATTGCCAACTGATTAAGTGCGGATTGCATAGCTTGGGCATTCTCGCACAGCAAGACAATATCATCCGCATATTCAAGTTCGAGAAGTCTTTCTCCAGGCGACAGATCCACACGACCATTCCTTACATCCATCAGAGCTGTTTCAAGAATGTCATCGATGGCAAAGTTGAAGAGGAATGGTGAGATTGGGCAACCCTACCTAACTCCACTGCTCGAATGGAATAATGGAGAGAGGTGGTTGTATGCCCTCACTCTGTCTGAGGTGTTTGTGTATAGGGCTTCTAGGATGTTAATAAACTTCTCAGGCACACCCTTCTTCAATAGACAATCCCAGAGAACAGACCTATCCAACGAATCGAAGGCAGCCCTTATTTCAAGAAACACTACGATTGTTGGCCTTTGATAAGTATGACGGTGTTCTAACATTTGGCGGAGGGTGAAGATATGATCAATGCATCCTCGACCGGAACGAAACCCAGCCTGCTCCTCGCGAGTCAATCCTTCTCGAGTTTTGAACAACCTACGAAGTATAACGGAAGCTAATAGCTTGGACGCGATCAGAAGTAGACTTATCCCCCGATAGTTGTTACAGGAACGACGTGAACCCTTTTTAAAGATAGGGACAACTATTGACTCACTCCATGACGTCGGAACACTCTTTAGCTCCCAGACCTTTGTAAACAATGTCGTCAGTCCCTTAGTCAGAAAGTCACCACCATCTTATCACAGCTAGAATACCTTTCATCGCACTACGAACTTGTACTTTTTATTTATTGTGCTTATTTATGTAATCCATTCCACTGTTATCATTAACTCATAAACTGCCTATATTGGTTTATTAATTTCGTATATGCAAAAAAATATTGTATAATTTAGATAAACGTCAAGAACAACTGTTCCTGTCACTTATGAATTCTTACTGTACAGTGATGTAACGATAATATGCTATTCAGTATTTTTGTCTTTACCAATCAAAGATGGATGTCGTCTCGAGTTACAAACTGGAGCTGTTGTGATTGGTGGATGTTTATTTAGTAAGATCCCATCGTAGTTCAGTAACCATTTGTTGATATACATCCTCATGCACAGTACGTAGACTCAAGTTGCTACAATTTACAGTGGTACAAGAAAAGTCAAAATTTAAATATAGTAAAATAAATAGAAAAAATTTAGACCAATAAAGGTAAATAAATAATGAGTGATGAAAACGAGGTGAGTGTACAACATTGTGGTCGACCCGGAACTATCCCAAATTAATCCCACATTGTGTCCCAACATTAGAAGTATGACTGTATGGGTCACTCACTTCCGTTTTTTACTCTTTCTCTCGTACCTGTTGTCAATCTTACAAAGTTTAAAAACGGTCAACAGATTTAAGCAGCCAGTCAGCTACAACGTAGGACCAGGAACATATATGCATCGGTCGAAGTTGCCATACCGCATTAGCACAACAAGATGAACACCGGATTCAAAGAGGCCGTTAATTCAGAGTTGGTAATATATAGAAGAAAGATTGCATATAAGGAGATAGTACAGGAACAAAGAATTAGTTCGTAGAAAGAAAGGTATAAAGCAATTAAAATCTCACAGTTTAAGGGAAGACAGAGTATATACGCCTACGCCATTGTGATCGATTCTGAGCCATGTCACACAGAGTCTCCAACCATTGGTTACGATAGTCACGCGGATCCAAACCAAGTAGTCTGCATCTACCGACATGGCTCAGACTAGAAGTTAGTGTCTTCAAGCACTGATACCGTGTATTGGTTTGGCCGCCCTTAACTTTCTTCCAACCATCCCCAACACTAGTCAGCATTGCGCGTCGTGGTAATCCGTCTTCAGGCATACGTAACACGTGGCCTAACCATCTCAGTCGATGAAGATTCATAACTTTATCAACTGATTTATCATCATTTCCTAATACCCTGCGTCTAACCTCACTATTACTTACCCGGTGACCCCAGCAGATACCCGCAATATTTCTAAGGCATCTGTCGTCAAATACTTGTAGCTTACGAGTATCTCCCAGATTTAAGAAACTGAATAGTTTGTAAATATCGCTGGTGATATTTCGTGTCTACGGTTAAACGGCTTTCTGGAATAAATTATTTTGTGTACTTTGTGTTACTAAATAATTCATATTAATCTACAAGTCATAACTAAATCAGATGACAAATCTATTAATTACCTGATATTCCCTTAAGCAGGTTGCGGTCTTTAACTTGTACATTTCGAACATCTTTCTGTTTCGTACTCGTTTATCCTGATTTTTTATTTTCATTTTTACTCCTATTGTGCCTTTATTTTTATGTAATTTGAGTTGTGATATCTTGAATCAATTCATCAATCACCCATTTAGTATGTTGCTGATTTTCATGCAGGATTGAAGGTACTAATGAACTGTTCAATCCGAAGTGACCAGATTGCGATGTGAATATATGATGTAGTATTTGAGGGTTCTTTAACTTCTGGCATACAGTATTGAATATCTTTAGCCGGTAAGCAAACATTATGCATCGGTAAGGTTTCCTTAGTAATTTATGTATTTTCTTCGTGATGCTATGTAGCTGAACTCGAAGCGAACCCACTGATTGGAAAACGAGTCCTTGGATTATTTATAAGAGCAGTGGCTTTGTATTCAAAGCGATCGACTTTTAACTAGTAGTTCCTAACTTCTTAATTTAGGGACAACCAAATGTTACCAATATCCGCCATTTAAAACATTTTACCGAAGTCCTAGTAGACGAGTCTATGTTCATTTCTAGGTGAAATCTAAAAACCAAACATTTATTACAGAAGTCAGCAAAATGGTTGGTCACAGTCAAATAAATGTTGAGAAAAAGTCAATTTATTTACTAAATATGTTCTAATAAGGCTCCAATAAATATGCGGTTGATAGCATAGTGTGTATCATATTGAGATTTCTATTTCCAGGTTGCTAAAAAAAATATTAGATTGTCTTTTAACGGATTCATAGCTACAAACCTGGAAATAATGGACATTATTTTTCTGGTCCAAACAGTTCTAGAAACCATTAAATCTAATCTAAATGTCAATATTTACAAACTAACTTACAGAAACTGTGTATTATGTACTATGTCCTGTTAATAATTCAAACATGGTGTTTCCTCACAAATTAATCTTTATTGTTTTTATCTGACATTCTTTTCAGTCTCCCATGCTTTCAACTGGATCTTCACTATATGAAAGCTTGTAGTGGTAATGAATAAGAGTACACAAAACCGACCTTTACTTGTCTTTTGCCATTGTTCACCTCTTAGCCGTTGCCCATATTCCAGGTCTGTTTGTGTATCGTCAACAGGATGTTTTCATTCATTGCATTTGGATTTATCACTAACATATGTGGATGATGAGTCGTATGGATGTTTTTCAAATAATACTAATCAGGTTGACTTACTCTGCCGAAATTCAAAAGTTGGTAGACAATTGTTATATTGTTGTTCTCCAAATGATGGCGATTTATGCAATCAGAACTCGAGTTTGCTAGAATTAATCAGTCCTATGCGAATGAATCCTCATGCTTTTACATGGAAATCTATTTTGACAGCAGTATTGTTCCCTACCTTTGCACTGTTTTGTGGGCTTCTAGCCATCATGCTTTTTTGGAAGTGCTTTTTGAAAAGACGAATAGAAAACTACGATCGCTACGTCAATGAGCTTAGCTACAAACGTCCCAGCTTCACTACAGATGTCTACAACTATCTAGTAAAACTCAATGAAGAACAGTTTTCGGATCGTAAGTTATCAGCTTATGTCTCACCCAGAATGGGAGATAACCTTTCTTCAAAAAATGTGCATAATCCTGATCCTTCATGTGAGCTTATTAGCTGCACTAGTGGAAGCGGAAGCGGTCTTCCATTTCTTGTTCAAAGAACTGTGGCACGTCATATTAGACTGACAATGTGTATAGGGAAAGGACGATTTGGCGAAGTCTGGAAAGCTACATGTCAAGGTGAAACAGTTGCTGTTAAAATTTTTTCTAGTCGTGATGAAGCCAGCTGGGCTCGTGAAACAGAAGTTTACAACACTGGGTTATTGCGTCATCCTAATCTCCTGGCGTATTATGCTAGCGACATGATATCACGAGGTGGATGCACTCAGCTCTGGTTAATTACAGCGTATCACGCTAACGGATCTTTACATGACTTCATCAGTCACAGATCATTAAAAATACAGGATGGTTTGCGTTTGGCCAGCTCCATTGCGGCAGGTTTGGCGTTTTTGCATACAGAAATCAAAGGATTACATGCTAAGCCTTCAATTGCACACCGTGATCTCAAATCTAAGAATGTCCTTGTTATGAATAATATGACTGCATGTATAGCTGACTTGGGTCTTGCCCTTGTGAATTTACAAAGTCTCCCAATTGGACAAGCTTTTCTTAATTTATCTTCCTCAATGCTATCTAGTGGTGTTATGTCTAGCGGTATAACTCAATCAGACAGATTGTGCAGTGGACTTTCTGGCCCTTCTTCTTTAGGTCCTCCTCCTGCCGGACCTAGGGTTGGTACTAAACGTTACATGGCACCTGAGTTACTTATGGCCATTGATATCACACACACATCATCTAACTGCGGAAACAATACGTCATGTATAACTAATGAAAGTATTGACAGTCCAAACAGAAGTCACCATTTACCATTTGAAGTTTACCAAGCTGCAGATATCTATGCGATGGCCTTAGTGTTTTGGGAATTAGCACGATGTACTCAGGGAATAACATCTGAATTTGTGGAAGGATATCAGGTTTGTACATTGACTTTTCTTTACTTTGATATTCACCATTATTACAGGCATTTTTCTGTTTATCTTACTAATATGAAAATTACGTATTATGAATTAGTGCAGTCGTAAGTATATGAATTTCAGATCGTAATTATTGACAGAGTAAAGTGTTCTATACGCCACACAAGTCACTTGATTTGTGTGTGAGATGTGATACTGCCCGGATGCCCAAACAGAAGTAGGTGGTTTTCTTAGGAGGCCACATCCGGAGCCTTCGACCTAAAGGTTTGATCCACGAGGCAGTGGAGTAGCGTCAGTAGATTACAGCCCCATGGTAATCGGTGACCAACGAGTGGTTTATACGCCATATGTTCCTCCAGGATCCTGTGTGGTTTGGAATCAGCGTTTTCCAACTACTCTAGGTGAATTCTCTGCACCCACCAACCCGGTTAAAGTGCTGGACATTCGTTTTCGTCCTCTCAATTTCGTAAACGCAGTGAGGACTTCCCTGGCAGTGGTTGTATACGCGTAGCCATAAGAGAGCATTTCGAAAGGGAGAGATGACTCCTCAGCCACACCAAGGCATTCCGTATAATCAGTTTGAGTATCTTTATTGGTAGAATTCCCAAACTGACGAATTTTATTATTTCTAAGTTCTTGTTCTGACTGTTATTATTGATGTCAACAGATCTTTTTCTATGAATATCCCCGTAGTTAATAAATATTTGTCAAATCTTGAGAGCAAAGCACAATAATTATTTATTATTTTGTAATCCAGTCATATGATTTATTAAGGCTTGTATACTAGTGAAAATCCACGAAAATTTACATTTTTGTTACGTAACGCCCTGAACAGCACTACGGTGGTTCAAAGTTAAGGGTACATCACTGCGTTGCACCATCTCTGGGACCCCAACCAGGGAGTCGTGAAGAACTAACAGAAGCGAGTCCGCTACAGCTTTCATACAACGACATATTGTTATTATTTTTGTTAATGGCTTTATTCAAAGCCATCCTGCACTTCATCATGTTTGCACATGTTGATAGACATTTGTTATGTCTGAACGGCTAAATATGGTTTCTAAATTTTTAATTATTTTTGATGAACTAGTAGCTTATGATGCATAAAATTGTTAAGCTCCAAGGATAGTAAACTCTGTGTTATGACCTAAAGTAATTGCCAACAACTCAGCAACGTTTATTAGTATTTTTTATGATTCTTTATAATCTTTGATTATTTCAAATTTGGAACTTTTCTACAGATACCATTCTGCGACATGGTCCCTCCTGATCCAACCTTCTCACAGATGAGGGATATTGTTTGTGGCAACAGTTTGACCATAAGTGATGATCAACCAAACCAACTGAACAGGAATAGCTCAAGTATAAACATTAATAAATCCCCCAAGACAAGTCCAGATTACGACAATGTTCATTGTCGGCCTCGTATCTACCAGCGTTGGTTGGATGACACCTACCTATCCTGCTATGCACAGGTGATACAAGAATGTTGGCATGATGATTGGTCTGTGCGCCTTTCTGCTCTTCGTGTTCGTAAACGTCTGGGACAGATCGAAGATGCAGTTAGGCAGTCATTGGTCAGAAAAAGAGGCGAGAACATTCCTTCTAATGTAAATGAGTTATCAGTACTACTGACCGAGGATCCAGAAACTTTGGCTTGATTTTCACATTTTCTGATATATTCAAGCTTATCTTTGAAATTTGCATTTAATTTTAGTGTTGTAACTTCCTAAATATTTTCACTTAATAAGTAATTTAATAATTCAAATGCTTTTCTGATTTTTTGATGGATGATTGTAGATACATAGGTTTTACTGTCAGGTAGTAATTTTATGCAAGAAACTTCTGATGTTTTATGTCGGTGCCAAACTTGGCACATTAGTACAGTAGCTACTGACTTGATTTTGATAAATATATATTGTCTCTGTTGTTTAAAATATTGAAGAGGGCAAGAAAAAAGATCTAAAATATTTACTGTGTACCGTTTATATGTAAGTAGGTCTGTGATCTATCTTATCGCTCTTTTATAAATGTACCAAACAAACAGTTATCTAATCTCATCGAAATACCAGATACTAGATGAATCATATTTTTGCATAAAGTATATGGTTGTTAAATATTAATTAGTAAGTGCATATTTAACGGTCGTTATACACCAATTCTATATGAAGACACTAATTACAGCTTTTAATACTAACCCACCAATAACTAAGTTATTGTAGACAGGGTAGACGAAGCCAATTCGGCCATTCAAGTTAGATTTATTGTTGCTGAATTTCTTTCTAATAGTAATCCTTTTACATTCACGAAAGTGGTTGATATTTTATTTCTTTACAAATGAGTTTTGAGAAAATTCACCAACAGCTATAACACAGGAAAAACTATTTAAGTAATACAGTTGAGTAGTACTGGGATAGAAATACACGTTTATTGAACTGCTACTACCTGTTAAATATGAAAATCAATGAAAGACGCCACATATTACTAGAGCAGCACCAAATGATAAGCTTCAGAAGTAACACAAGAAGGCTATCAGTCTTAGTTTCGAAAACGCACCCGTGAAATTAATCTTGATGTCGGATTATTGCGAGTTTAGTGCACTAAATATTTCTTCCTGGCCTCATTAATCGCCAGGATAAGTCTTTTGATAGGTCAAGTGGGAGCAAGCCATGATGGGTGAGAAAAGACGTATTCGACCACACTAAGTATAAGAGGACATCTACTGTGTAAAATTGATCCCACTTATAGACTGCTTCACATTGTGTTAGTTAACTGTAATTCTAGTCTATGCTCGCTTAACTCGATATTGTTTAGAGTAGGAGTAGACTGGAAGGTTATGAGCGGCCAAACCAAAACATGACATTGGACCATGGAGACATTGAAAATGGGACTGAGTCATGTTGATAGATGAATAACATGGATCAAAATCGTTCACAATGGTCCATGTGGAGCTACTTTTTGTTCCCCCTCAATTATGGGCTTCTGAGTTCCTCATAACTTTTTGCCTTTATTTTACTAATTCATACTTTCTTGGGTCGTATCTTTGATCACTAGTCTTCTCTGCAACCACTCATACTGTTACTACTTCTATTCCGAGATTTATCTTGACGATTTCACCCCCTTATGCTATTGGGTTATGAAAACTTGAACCGATGTACACACTTATCAGGTTCTGCGTTGAATCTCTTTCTTGATTGTTGCTTACGATAGGATTAGGTAGTCAAAAGCTGAAGACATGTTTATTGAGTAGTTATATATGCATTCTTTATGACATGGGCCCTCAAAATGGTCTGGGTAGACTGAAATATGGCTAAGAGCAAGTCAGTGATGCATATATATTTTATCCTTCGTCTTTACTTAATCTTATCCTTCACTCTTGCAACTCAAGCCAGGACTCAGGTTGATCATGTCGCAGTCAGCTACAGCTGGGGTGGTTGTGTGCAAGACTTATCTAAACTCTAATTGTGCTCTTGTTTGAGCTAATCTTACCTTACGTTTCAGTGGCCAACAAATCCATCATCATAAACAGACTGGCGTAAGCAAATTGGTTACAGCTTTCATTGCAAATAAATATCAAAGCGAGCTAATGTCTAAAGTTATCATACCCATCGAAAAGTGCAGATCGCCACTAGCTACATTTGGATGACACCATGAAAATGGGGAATACATTCACGGGTGGCTTCACGAAACGTCCCGCCTATAAATACTGGGCTTTTTCAACCTCCTTATATTTCCATGAAGCACGTCGGTCTACTCCGACGAACTGCGAGTTTGACAGTAAACGTAGATTATGTAGAAAAATTGTGTCAAGTTTGCCAGTGGATCAAAAGGCCTGGTAGTCAGAGCCGACGAGTTGGAATTAGCAATGACATCTTATAACTCATCCGAGCCACAGGCAGCAAGAAGTCTGGTGTGAGTGGAAAGACCTGTGAAGCAGATTGGACGACAATCAATAACACCTACTGAAGCTCCTGACAGTGAGGGGAGTCTTACAAGGAACAACTCGGTTGGTCTTCTGTCCTAATGGCGTTGATCAGACTGTCTCGTCTTCGATGGCCGGTGATGACACCCACCTAACGAGGCAGAAGCCTGCAAGAAACTCAAACTCTTGAAGCACCTTAAATCACCAGGCTCTCACATATCGTTTCTAGGATGTCGACACACCTTCAATCAAGGAAATTGACTGAATTGTTTGGTCTTCCGTCATACTCCGAAGTTTATAAAGGATTTGCTTGCAAGGAGCAGGTCAGTTTTTGTTCTGTTCGGGGATGTACTGTTCATATTTTCGCTTTCCATCAAATGTTAGGAGGCCACTATAGCTATTGCGGGCCGAAAATAGTTAGTTTCTTGGTCTCAGGGCCGCCTTCGATTCGTTGGACAGAACTGTGCTCTAGGTTTGTCTGCAGAATCATGTACTTGGCAAGCTTCCTAGAATACTGAAGGTTCCAAAAACAAACACATCAGGCAGAAATAAGGCATGCAAGCCCCTCTCTCCATTGTTGCATCCAAGCCGTGGGGTCAGGCAGGATTTCCTAGTCTCACCATTCCTCTTCAACTTCCCCGTTGATGTCATTCTGAGAACGGCCTCGAGATATGTAGGTCGGCGGTAGCGTGGATGTTACCTGAGGATCGACTAGAGTATCCGGATGATATCGCCTTACTGTTAGGTAGTACCCACATCATACAACCCAACCTTACTCAGTGTTCGTAGACATGGCTCATGCTTTCAAAGTACTTTTACAAATGACAGAAGCCCTGAATCTACTCCTGGTATTCGAAGAGTGACAGGTGGGATCATTTTACGTTTTGAGAAAACCAAAGAGCCTTATGTCAATCCTGTTCATCTTTGACCGTTGTAATTCCAGTTTGTCTGCACAAAGTGTAGTTTATAGTGGATCGGTAAAGCAGTCTTATTCTATGCCTATGGCCTCTCAGGGTTGAGGATGTAAGAGAACTCTGTATTCGGTCGTGGTTGACCCAAAAATGTTGCTAATATTCAGCGGCTACATCGTATTAGTTGTTAAGTGTCTGGACACTATGTGTCATCTTGAAACACCAACTATGGTGGCTTAGACATTTACTACGAATGTCGTCTCAATGATTTCCATATTGTGCATTGCTTCCCGACTGTGGGACTATTTGGAAAGTGGACAGGTGGTCAATTTATGACATGGTGCCTTGGCATGACAGTAGTTGTATGGGACTGGGACCGTACACAACTCTCTGGTAAGCGTTTTAGGGACAATCTAATTTGATGGACTGAAATGCTATCAGAAGAGGTTAGTGGCGGTCCATCTGTTACTTCATTCATAAGTCAGACACTCCTTTAGCTAAGAGGATCTCTTAGGATTGATTTTATCTCAAATGAACTGGTTTACTTATTAGTTCTCACTACTTCCATCTACTTATTCTTAATCATATTTTTTTTTAATTACGCACACCTTTACCGCTTCTCCTTGAAGCACATATTTTCGTCCCCTTTTATACAAACATCTGTGTCCATCAGTTCGTCCGGTTGTGGCTATCTGTATCATAATCCCAAACATATTGTTTCAGTATAGTATTCTCTAATCCAGAAAAAAGGGAATGAAGAGTAACTAGGATCTAACTGAATAAACGTCCAACGTAAGCGACTGCAGTAGCATATTTATTTTAGAGGGGGACTTTTGTAACTAAAACTTTGACCTGAAAGTTTGAAATTGCTGATTTTTGAGTCATACTACATGTTAGGCAACAGTAGTTATAAGGACATTTCACCAAGTGAAAAATAATTTATTCGACATCCTAAACACGCACAATGCGAAAGCAGTAAGTACTAGTGGCTTGATATCTTTTCTACTACAATATTCACTAAGTCAGAGGCCGAACCTAAAAAACCGTGACGCGCCACACCCAGCTTCAAAATAGATAATCCAAAACCACTTTACCAGTTAGATGGAGATTGCAATAAACCGCCAGATACCATACATAGCAAAACAGCGGGAAAAGATTATATTCACCTCAGTTTCCAGCAGAATGAAGTATTTCGGCCCGTCCCAATGATACCACATAACTGTACAAGAATACTTTTTATATTATGAATGATTAAGTTCCCTATTTTAGATTCTAACTTTCGCAGCCATTGAGTTGATGCTTTGTTCGGAAACCTTGTACTTTCTTACTAGCTTCAAAATAACGGTTGAGTCGGGAACTCTTAAAAGGAACGGCCTTCGGTAGAAGCATTCAGTAGGTCAATCACCATTTCCTGATTGTAAGACTTAATTGTCTGACGAGTGAGTTAGTATAGATGAATCGGGAAAATAAATAGTCCGCAATAATGAGTCGAAAGCCTAGTACGCATGATTCATGTAGCTTTCAAGTGCACTAACTGGGGAAAATAATACACGAGACTTTTCATAAAGACAGTTCATACATGGAAAATGCTGACAATACCTAATTGTAAGGTGTTAACTCGACGGGGCGGTTTGCAAACTCTTATATTTCACATTGCTACCTCCAACTGAATTCGTGTAAGAAAATCACTTAACTTAAATAAAGGTCCAACTTAATTTACTACTTTTTGCATAATTTATGGAAAAGACGTTAGGACAACTGAGAGGTGAATAATTAGTCGGAAGCGAATAACTTTTCGGTTTTATAGCAAGCATGTCAGCCGCACTATATAAAATGACAGTAAATAAATCTAAAATTATCAGCAACTTTTCTTACCTACTTATAATTACTTTTTACAGTAAGTTTCCCACTCTGGCGGCTAAAAAGCTACAAAAT